AAAAAAAAAAACACATACCAAAACCTGCACTCCATACAACATATTTGGCAAAAAAAACACAGATACCAAAACCTGCACTCCATAGTAGTTTCTCCTTTCGAAACTTATAAAACAAATAATGAGGCCACTGAATTAATCACGACTACTATATAGCAATGTTTCCATACAAAAGACAACAAAGCTTCTTAGCAAAAACCGCATACTACCCCGAGCACAAGATACAAGGCTTAAATAACATTCTAATTACAGGCTACCCTGGCCACACAATTTTACCAAAACACTAACACGAGCAAATTCAAATACTGTGTCCCCTATATGTACAATATTGTTACACCACGCACATTAAAACTACGTAAGTTTGACAGGATGCTTCACAAAGCCATTCCAGAAGACAACACAATTGGAATTGCACCAAAAAAACTAAGTCATAAATTTAAAGAAAAAAAGGGATGAACATCCATTACACCTCATCCGAGCTAGCCGAGGCCTCACTCCCATGTACAGAGGCCCCACCGCCCTGTATTTCCTCCTCCTCTTCTTCGTCCTCCTCTTCTTCAACTTCATCTTCATCTTCATCTTCTTCTTCTTCTTCACTAGAAGTACTACTTTCTTCACTCGAGCTAGAAAATTCTTCGCTCTCATCATCACTGACCACGTCAGCCCTCCGCCTCCTCTGTGGGGCTGCCCGACCCAGCCGCCTTTGCTTTCTGGCTTTCCGCTTTCCTTTGGGAAAGTCTTCATGTTGGGACTCATAACTCTTGCTACCAGACTCCTTTGGATTTTTTATCCCATTCTCTTCATTATCCTCTGACTCAATACTCATGGAGTCACCATCGAGTTTGCGTCGTTTTCTACTCAGGGTTGCCTGAAAATGGAATAACTTTTTACAGTTAAATTCAGTTGTATACTTCGAATGTTAATTAAAGTGAGATGGAGTATCTTTTAATACATATACAGCCAGTCGAAACAATATTTATTTTAACATTCATGGGATATACATGAGCATATAGATGAAGGCTGCAGAAACTAGAAAGTACCTTTGGACCACGATCAACTAAACAAGCCCATTCACTTCGGTTCCTCAGGCAATCAAGTACAGCTTGAGAGTGGCTCGAATACGCATAACGCTCTCCATTATGCTTCCTCAAGTGAGGCCAATGCTACAGAATAATATGTACAAGAGAGATAAAATTTACCCTAGTCAAATGAAAAGAGTTGAAGCAATAGAATCAAATATTCTCACATAGCGGACAGGGAATAACAACCATCAATTTGTCAAAGCAAACATACCGGTAGAACCGCATTACAAAGCTCTTCATAGGTTATTCGTTTGCCTTCACACATAATTTCAGCAATCAAACCTAAAATGACAATGATAATAATTAAGAACAAAAAAACATACTATCCCACAAACCTAATGAAAACAACCAGCACTTGAAAAGCAATTAGTAAAGTGTTCTCTTCTGAAATAGCACTAACCAGGTAAAGTGCGAGTAGTCTGACGGCCCACCACCCGTTGGTCGTTATCGGAGGTAGCCCTTGATGAGGGGCAATCAAATGATAATTTGTGTCCGTTGGCATCAGGGGTTGAGGAAAGAGTAGTGCCTGTACTTACTTTCTTCGCAGACTGCACACTTTTACCACGGCCACCATCTGCTTCCCTTCTTCGAAGCGTGTCTGCATTGAAACCAGAATCTCGCCGCCTCTTATATGGTGAAGTGGGCTTTCTATCCATTTTCTTGGTTTCATTATCAACCTCCACAGAACCATGTGCACCCTCTCCAGACAAATCCTTAGTCCTTCTAGAAGCCTAATCAACTCATTCAGGTAATATCATCACATCAATACAAGACAAAGCAAGAATGAGAAAATGCTACTCAATAGAGGGAGAGAGAGAGAGAGAGAAAGAGAGATCACCACAATGTGATCCTTTCCTCCTGTAGATGCTCGCTTCATCAGTACACTTGTGGCACTTGGACCTGTTAACTGCGGCAAACTGCCAGCATGGCGCATACGTGGCACCCTGGGAACTCTCGGAGAACTATTGAGTTCTTGATGTAAAAGTAAAGCAAGCTGCAGGTAGCATGTAGGATATAAGGGTATTTGTACTTAATAGCTTAAAAATGGAAGATAAACTACAAGTTATTGTTTTCTACCTCTTCATCACTCAAGGTTGCAGGAACATTAGCAGGTGTCGAAGCTGCCATTGGAGCCACATTTCTTCTAGATGACTGGTGACCACTAGACTCGGACTGCTTTTCTACTTTTCCAGGTTCAGTTGAAGATACAGCTTTGATCTGCACGTCTGAAGCACTTTCAACCTGCAATGGACTGGTAAGCTCACTCGACATGTGATCAGCTGCTGCAGTGGGCACCAATGGTACTTTAGAAGTATGAATGCTCCGACCCTTAGAATCAGATGTTGGTATCTTGGAGTCAGGTGTATGCGATGATTTAGACGACTCTGAAATTTTCAGAGGATGCCTGGAATACTCTTTCACTAACTTCTTTGGCCTCACAGATTTTTCTTCACGTGCAACCACATCAGCTGACACGCTGTCTTTCGCTGTTGCCACAGTGCTATTAGATAAACCGTTCTCTCTACTGAGAAAAGAAGGATTCTGAGTACTTGCTGTCATGTGGTTGTCTGAGAGCTTAGAAATACCACCACTCGAAGTTGAAGTGGATTTCACCTCAGATACTCCTTTACGCTGATAAGAGGCTGTTGAGTTGCTTCTAGCAGTGCCATTAGATTTATGCAATTCATCAGCCACTTCTGAATTATATTTAAGTCCCGAAGACTTTTTTCTTGCTCCTATGGAACCTTCACTAGTAGGCTGACGCTTGTATTGACAGGGATTGCCAGGTGATTCATCAGATTTATCAGTCCTTGAAGTGCCAATATTTAGGCTCCTGGTTGCATCAGGCACCTTCTGTTTACTTGCTTCTGAATTTATGGCTGAAGATTCAGCTATTCTTCCCTCTTCTGAGAAAATCTTGACAGAAGAATCGGGACACGTAGTTATGACTTTCATAGTGGCTAATTTCGCATCTTTTCCTGGTAAAGGCTCGCCATGAAGATGCCTAGGATCATCAGCAATGTGGTCGCCTTTCAGTTTCTTGGTAGGCCGTGTGTTGCTCTCATCAATGTCACAACTTTGGCCCCGTTGACTTTCTTTAGCATCCGCACTACCAATTTTCACATCCACATCCAAAGAATCCTTGTCACGCGTGACAATCTTGCCACTTCCAGCACCTCCTCCGGCATCCCCACCACTCTGAAGAATATCACAAGGAAACTAATTAAACCTGAAATTCGCAGATAAAGTAGCAACATAATGGGATGATAGCCTAATAATTAACAGATCCAGACTAAAGGTATTCTTGTTAGCTAAGTGAATGCATTGAACTAAGGCAGAAAAGGGGAACGAAAAGCGCAACATAAACTTTTTCACGAGACACCCATTGCAGTATTAAACGCATCAATAGTGGGAAAAAAAATGCCATGGCATTGTGGAGTTTGGTTTTAGAGCCATCAAGACGGGCCTAGACCTGTGTGGGCCATCTCGCCCGCCTATGTTACCCGGACTCTTCTATTTAGGAAGAATATCCGTGTCATGTCGTGTGGACACTGGCGTGGGTATGAGTGTCGGGTGTGGCATTTTAGCCTAAAATGTTCAAGATTTCTAAACAATTGACGAGTCGGACGCTCATATCTCCACACCCGATACGCCACCCATATCCGAGTCCAGGTAGCGCCGCCCGCCCTGTGAAGGGACAGGTTGGGCTGTGATTTTTTACGCCTGCCAAGGAGCATTCCTAAACGGGCCAGCCCAGAGGTGGGACGAGGTGGGGCTGGCCCGCGGATGATTAAAAAAACTAAATCCTTAGCCTAAATTGATTCAGGTCGAAGTGACTCTCACGCTAGTTCTCACATAAGAAGAAACCCTACAAACTTCCCTCATCTACTCTTCCCAGCGGTGTCGCCTCATTCTCAACTGGAGCCGTTCGCAGCATGGCAACAGCCATCACCAGGCAGAGGAAGTTAACGCACAAAGTGACCAAGAACACAGAGCAAACAAAATTCAGCCTGACACCACCGGCCCGTTCTGATGGTTCCAAGTCGGATCAAATGAATGTATACTATACACATGCGCACGCACTAAATCTAAATGAATGTATACTATACACATGCGCACGCACTAAATCTACAGAGATACATAAATTACCCTAAAAACTTAAGATATGGCAATAACCATGGGCGAAATTGATGGCCAACAGCGTCGCCGTTAAATCAAAATGACATAAAACCTCATTTTTTGGAAGCTCATAATTGTAATAGAGCAACACGATGATACAAATTATTATTATTTTTAAAAATAAAACAGGATAAAATAAAGTTAGGAAACTAAAGATAATGATGTTGAACAAAGAAAAAAAGAAGAAAACAACACATAAAAAAAAGCCAAAAAAGAAACCTGATCAAGAAAATGATGAACAAAAGGCAATCATCAGAACGGGAATTAGACGAGCCCAAAGAACAAAGTAAAAAAGAGGAAGACAACACATAAAAAAAAGCCAAAAAAGAAACCTGATCAAGAAAATGATGAACAAAAGGCAATCATCAGAACGGGAATTAGACGAGCCCAAAGAGTATAAATAAAAGGCAGCAATACCGAGAGAACAAAGAAATGTAAGAGAAAGTGGTTCTTTGGAGTCTAGATTGTCATATCAAAAGCCAACACAATACAAGTTTCTATTGAACAAAATCTCCTAGTTCGTTCTTTTCTTTTCTATTTTGTTTTCTAGAGATCCAACGGCTTTCAGAAATGTCCCTTTACCAATATTATGAACCGTAATTACAAAATTATATTTGACAACGCGAGCTGACAAGAACTACTCAACCCAGAGACAGCGACACGAAAACAGTATCAACCCGTGAAAATTGCACAACTAATTCCTAGGTCAGTGAGATACTCATACATTGTTCATCCTGTTCTACTTTTATTAAATATTAGCATTGAGTTCAGAATAACATTTAACTGACATAGGTTGACGAACAGCTACATGTAGAACTAGCCTGGGAAACTAGCATCAATTTGCCTTGCGTAACCATCACCAATAATTTACAAATTCATGCAGGCATGATGAATATTGAATACATCCATAAGTTGGTTGATGGCCGCTACTTTATATTAGTTCAATGTTCCCTAACAAGACTAGCCTCGACGGGTATTAAATGTAGATTAATAGAACAAAAATCAAAATCTTAAGGAAATAAGTCGTGTACACACACCTCCTTTCTTACAGGTTGCCTCAAGGAACCATTCGGTTCTGTTAATGATTCCACATTGTTATTGGTTTTAAGAAATTTCTCTGATCTCACAGGAACATGATCTTCTTTGTTTTCTTTCTTTGATGCTTCATCACTTGAAACGTCATTTCGATGGGTAACCCCTAAACCACGTTCTTTTGAAGCCAAGTTGGTAGCACATTCACCAAGACGATCTGCTTGATTAGGAAGAGTATTTTGATTACAGTGGGCACTGAGAGCCTTCGAGCTTCCATCTTGAGAAGATTCTAAGTGTTTTGAGTCAGCATATATATTTGAGTCAGAAAATGTATTCAACCATACAAAAAAAAAAAAAAAAAA